AGGGGTCACCCTCCTTCAAGGGTTCCAGCTGACTTCTACACCATCAGTCACCGCTAAGGGCTGCCCCGGAAGGATGTGCAAATATCTCCAGCACTCCGAGGGTAGTCTTCCCAAGAAGTCACAGGAACAGCCTTAGAAGCAAAGGCACACGGAGGAGGGGCGGAGGGGCACACAGAACTGCAGCTACTCAGGGCCATGGTTCCTGAGTGGAAGAGGCGGGTTCAAAGCCCCGGCTTCGAACTCCAGAGCTTGGGGCTTTAACACGAAGCTGGTGTGCCCCCCAACCTCTTCCAAACACTTGTATATGCCTTGTATATGGACTCCTGCTGGTCTGTGTCAAAGTGTTCACAGGGCTTTGGAGAAATGAGAAAAATATAAGTGTATTTGAATTTTTATTCCTCAAATTATGGTCACCCTATTTTTTTTTTTTTTTTTGGTAATAAGCTAGCCTTTCTTTTATAAAACAATGGTGATAGTAAGTTGCAGAAATCATATTTGTGTTTTGCTTTCTTTTTTTTTTTTTTGATGACTTTACTTGGTAAAATAAAAAGCTGAGACAATATATCAGTTTCCCTAAAGTTTTTTGTCCCTTTTCATTTAATAGTCCAGGGCACATGAACCATCAGGGTCCAAGAATATACTTTGAATTTTTTCAACGGCTGAGAACCATGTTTCTCAAAGCATTCCATGCAACATGAATCCTCTAAGATACAGTGAATTAAAGGTTCCGGGGATGATAAGTTGGGAAACCTATATCCTCGAGCCCCCTCTGGGAGAGTTTATTAGGTACATGAGCATATTAAAGGCTCTGACAAGTCCTGCAGCAAAGAAATGTACTTAACTTAGTTTTACCCAGTGCCCTTTTGCTTTTTGATCACACCCATTAACCTGCCATGAACATATTTCAGGAAAATTCCATATACTGGCTAAAGCCGCTGTTCCTGGGGCCCAAGAATGTGTTTTTCCTTGTTTGGCTCGTTAACAGCTGAGGTGGCATTTCACATGTGCGTAAACCCCCAGGAGAGCCTCCCGAGTTATAAATGGTGCAGCGGAAACAATGACCCAATTGTCAGACATCGTGGTGATTTAGAGCCCCTGGAAGGGTAGGGACATTTATGACATGGCATAGAGCTGGATGCAGGGAAGTCCCAGCCTGCCTGCTTGCTTGCAGCTCCAGAACCAGCAGCCCACTCCAGGAGCAATGATCCTGGATTGTTCAGACAAGCCGTGACCTTCAGGCATGTCTTAGCAACACAAATGCAGAAGTCAAATAAGGCTTGCAGGTATCCAGCCGCAACCAGAGGGAAGGGGTGGGGTGAGGGAGTGGGGGTGAGGGAGTGGGGGGACCAAGGGGTGTGTGGGCATGGGGATGAGCAGTGGGAATTTGAGCATTCTGAAAGTGGGTGAGTGCGGTTGTGCGCTCATGTGAACATGCAGAGGTCAGCTCTGGCAGGTAAAGCAGGGGCTTGGGGGGGTACACCCCTGGAACCTGTAAGCTCTGAGAAGAGAGTGTAAGCCAGAGGCTAGAGCCCCCTCTTCGGCTCATCAGGCCCAGCCCCCACACCTCATCCTGGCAATCGAGGCCCTCCACACAGGTTCCCCCATCCAAGTCCCAACCCTGTTTCCCAGAACGTCCCAAACTAAAACACGCCCCGAGGGCTTACCCTGTGCTAAATACTTTGAGTATGTTGTGCCATGTCACTGAGTCATGAAGGAGACACTGTCGTGATGTCCATTCACAGACGAGCAGACAGAGCCTCCAAGGGACGAAGTGACTTCCCCAAGGTCGCATAGCTGCTAAGTGGTTTATAGACCGGACTCAAATGCAAATCCAGGGCTTACCCACCTGCCTATGCATCAGGATGCTCCTGGCTCAGGCAGACCTGCTTGGGGGGGGTGGCAGACTCCCTGAACTGACATCCTTAGTTTGTTGCTCTCCCGGCGTGATTGGGCAAATGATCGGAGAACCGGGCTCCGCTCTCAGGGGGGCCCCTCTGGCTGCGCAACCTTGAGCTATCACCTCCCAGCACCTCCCCGATTCAGCTTCCACAACTACAGAACAGGGATCGGAATTGCCACCTCCGTGAGCCGTGTCATAGCAGGCTGATGTCTGAGTGAATGACAGTGCACGGATTTGTGGCATGCCCGACACTCCACCCGCCACGCGGAAGGTGTTCAGTAACTATTACTTGACTTTGCCTCTGTCCCTTAGCGATTCCTATAACTTCTCTGGCCCCATCTGCCACATGAAAGTGGCTGAATTGCCTTTTTCTGGGAAAGCTTTCCTAATTGCTCCCCCCTAGACCCAGCCAGCGACCCCTCCCTGCCCCATACCTAGCAACATTTATAGCAGGGTTTCTTAATGTCGGCACCACTGACATTTTGGGCTGGGTAATTCTGTGTCCGTGGCAGGGGGCGGGCTCTGTCCTGTGCATTGTGGGATGTTGAGCCACATCCCTGGCTTCTAGCTACCATGCTGGTAGCATCCTCCAGTGGGGCTCTGCCAAATGTCCCTGGGGGCACCCTGCCCCTGGTGGAGAACCAATGATTCATGGCAATCGCTTGAATTCATTGCAAACTGTGTTTCTGGGAGCCCATCCAGCACTGCAGGTCAGAACACTGGCCCCAGATTCCAGGTGTCTGGGTTTGGAACCTGGCTCCATGCTTACCATTGTACAATTTAGGGCAAGTCACTTAGCCGCTCTGAACCTCAGTTTGCTTCATCTGTATAAGGGGGACAATGAAGTATTTGCTTCAGAGGACCACGGTGATGATAAAATGAGATGACAAGTGTAACTTGCTTAGCATCGTGTCTGAGAACAAGCTGGTGGGAGGTGGGAGATGAGGGTGGGCTCTGGAGGGTCTTGATTGGGGCAAAGGTGAGGAGGAGCCCAGGGGCCAGCAGGGTCTGAGAGCCCTTGTCCCTGCCACCTGGGCAACTGGGTGGCCTCCTCTGTGCCTTGCTTCTGGCTCCCAGGTACTTCCCCTGCAGCGGGTACACGGAGGTTAATGAGCTGTTCAGTTCCGCTGACTTGCAAGGCCTCCCTCACTCAGTTCAACACCTGCTGTGCCTGATTAATGGTGGCCCTGCGGCCACAGAGGACCACAAGCCGGAACCGGGACAATCAATTAGTTCCAGGCCCCAGGGAAGACTCTGGCCCCTTCTCTTCTGCTTGAAATAGGAGCAATGAGAATGGAAGGTTCTGGTCTTGTCCCACACCTCCTCCCCAAGTCAACACTGTCCCAGAGCTAAGTGTCAGATCTGGGCTTGAAATAAGTAATGTCTATTGGTTATTGATGCCAGGAATGGTGTGAAGTGTTTTACCTGCTTTCAATTCCAAGCGCAGCTGTCTGAAGTGAGAGCAATCATTATCCTAATTTCACAAATAAACCAGGGCTCGGAGAGTTGGCATCCCTGTCCAGCCAGGTCACACAGCTGGTGTGAGTAGTACAGCCCAGGGCTGAAGCTCAGATGCTGCATGAGACTTTGACTTGCTGGAGTCTCAGTTTTCCCATCTGTAAAAATGGGGCCCCTGACACCCACCTCCCTATTTGATTGTGGTGAGTGGGGGGAAATCATGCTCGTGAAGGTGGGTTGACAAGGTTAGAGTGTTAGAGCCCAAGTCAGAGTTGTCCTCTGCTTCCTTCTGCTGTTGGATGAGTTGAATATTCCCTGCCTCGCTGGCTGGTTTGCAGATCAGAAGAGATCTTGTTTCATAGAAGCACTTTGTAAAGTGGGCTTTAGTCATCCAGTGTACCTGGGAGCTGCTGTGCTGAGCGTGTCCTCAAGAGAGCATGAGCTTTGGGTTCTTGCCTTGGGTTGGGTCAGTTACTTCATCCCCCTGCACCCAGCTTCCTCATCTGTCAAATGGAATTGGGTGGTTGTAGGGATTAGTGAGACAATGCTAAGGACTTTCTGGGTTGGGCACAGAGCAGGTGGTCAAAACGCAGAGCCATCTTTGTGTGTGTGTATGTATATGTGTACAGGTGTGTGGATTTATTTTTTTATTTTTTATTTTTTTAAAGATTTTATTTATTTATTTAATTGACACACAGAGAGAGAGAGAGAGGGAACACAAGCAGGGGGAGTGGGAGAGGGAGAAGCAGGCTTCCCGCAGAGCAGGGAGCCCAATACGGGACTCGATCCCTGGACTCCAAGATCGTGACCTGAGCTGAAGGCAGACGCTTAACCAACTGAGCCACCCAGGTGCCCCGGTGTGTGGATTTATTAACCATACCATATTACCCCTAGGGAGAAGACTCATCTGGCTGCCTGGAATAATACTTGGCCAGGCTATGATAATTTGCATTACTGTTCAGCAAACACCCACGTCCCTCCCCTTCCTGGTCTGGGTGAAGTTTACAGCCCCATCCTGTTGAAAGGCTGGGTCAGGGGCACTTGGGCAGCTCAGTCGGTTAAGCGTCTGACTCTTGATTTCAGCTCAGGTCATGATCTCAGGGTTGTGAGATCGAGCCCCATGTCGGGCTCTGCGCTCAAGTGCAGAGCCCGCTTGAGATTCCCCCTCTTCCTCTGCCCCTCCCTCTGCTCAAGCATATGTGCTCTCTCTCTCTAAAATAAATAAACAAACAAATAAATAAAAAGAAAGCCTGGGTCATATGACTTGCTTTGGCCATGGAATATTAGTGAACGCAATTTGAGAAGATGCTTTGAATGTGTTTGTGCAGTTTGGCTTGGCTCTTCTGATCTGGTGATCACCTATAGGATGAGCATGCCCTAGGAAGCTTCTCCTTCAGGGAGACATGTGAAGCAAACTTGAAGTTGACAAGAAGCCTAAAGGGGAGACTTGGTTAAACCAGCCAAAACCTACAAACCCAGGAGCTTGAGAATAAATGCTAATTGTTGTAAACCATGGCATTTTGGGAAAATTTGTTATGCACCGTTATCATGGCAAGAGCTGACTAATACACTGGCCAATGTCACATCTCAAGATTTCTTCCATACAACAAACGACAACAGAATTCACACCTGTTTTGGCGGCAGTGTGATGCAGTAATTCTCAAATTCTTTATTGGCATAAATAATTCAGACAATTGGATTTTCACTAAACATTGCACTAAACACAAGAAACAATAGGCTTGCCGGCTCAGAGGCTCACAACCTGTCCAACAGCCCAAGTTAGAAATACTTTTTTGAGAAGTGTAGAAAACTTTATAAATGATTCTGTACAAATATACACAGTGGACTCTCCATCCATCTGGCCTTCTTTTCCTGGATGCATCTGAATCAACTGTTCTTTCCCAGCAACGAGACGTTGGCAATGAGTAAGAGAGAGACAGAGACCGAGACAGACAAAGATGAAAAGGGAAGAAGAGAAGTGGCCCCAAAAGGAAAACATGAAACCAGCTTCTTACATTAACTCATTCTGCAACAGTCAACACAAACACAGAGAAAACAGTTTGGACCATTGGTCCATGTCAGTCTGTACAAGAATTCATCTTTATATATATATGTATATATATATATATATATAATATATATATGTATAATATTTATAGGTATATATATATACTTTTTGTATAGAAAAGGTAACAGCGTAATTTACATAGAGAGAAAGCTTTTTACAATTGAGAATTTTCCTAAGGTCAATAACTTTGAGAGTAATCAACCGAATGAATCATGCGGTAATGTTCATGGAGTGGACCCCAGTGCAAGATCAAAGCATAGGGAGAGAGAAACAAGCTGAGGGTGGGACTCAATGGCCCAAGTTTGGGGCACTCACCACGTGTGACCAGACTCATCCGGCCCCAGTGAATGCCCTTGGCCTCCATCTTGGGGCCTTGGAGGGGACTGGTCTTGCCAGAGGCTCTCCAGTTTCCTAAGTTTGAACCTCTCCCCTATGCATGCTGACCCCACAGCAGCTGAAGAGTGTCTTTATGAGTCTTGGGTCCCCCTCCCCATGTCCACCAGTGCACCAGCCCCTAAGAAAATGGATGACACCCACCACCTCTCCATTCCAATCCTCCATTTTTTTCTGGAACATTTCCCTAGAGGTGGAATTCCTAGGGACGTTTTGATCGGGCCAGTGAGAAGAGAAACCACATATACTGAGCACCTACTGTGTGCCAGGTATTGCGCAATTCTATTGACATTCATTATTTCATTTACTCCCTCCAGTAACCTTGAGGGTTAGGGATGTACTAAGTGCTAGAAGGCTGCATGAAGCTAAGAAAAATCCAAGGAATGCTTTGGGAGAACTGCCGGCACTGAGAAATTGATGGCGAGGTCATTATCCGCAAGAGCGGATGGCTTAAGAAATGCACGTTGAGTCAAGCTGAAGCAGGTAAACCTGATAATTTACAGCAACCACACACACACCATGGTAGACCTGTGGTCAGCGAAGAAACTGTTTCCTATCCTTCAAACCCTGACATACATTTATAAGGACAGTGGGACACAATATCCCACCAAGAGGGCACATTTCCACATTTTATGCTGTATTACAGGCCTGGCCTGTGGCCCACTATGATCCCTAGGTCTTCTTCAGCTACTCTGTAACAAACCAGTATTTTGCCCATCACGCCTGTCATGGTTAGTTGGAAACCCTGAGAGTGGGGTCTTTCCAGCAGTAAATGTCCACGTTCACACACGTCCTTGACCTCAAAGCTCCAGTGATCTATGCCACAGAGTGACATAAACTCCCCATGAAAGAGGCCATGGTGAGACAGCTTGCTGGTATGGCAAGACACGTGTGGGCCTCAGAGAGATCAGAGACACAGGTCACAAGAGCAGGTAGGAAGGACTGTGAAGCAGAAGCAAAGACAGGGAAGAAAATGCTTTAGAGGGAGGGCTGATCACCAACCCATCCACAGCACAGATACCCGTGGTTTGAAGAACCCAATGAAGGGGTCCTAAGACACGGACAATGTGTGCAGGCAGGCAGGGATGCAGAGGGAGGCCCGCAGGGCCAGAGAGAGCTGCAGAGAGAATCTGAGGCAGCCTAAGTATGACCTGATGCTAGTAAGCACAAAACCCTCCCAGGGCATCATCTTCTCCAGGACCCTAAGGCCAACTGCCAGGACCAAGACATGGCAGGAGAAGGTGGGATCTCTATGTCTGAGCCAGGGCACCTTGTATTTGGGGTTGGAGTCTCCCAGGACCTGACACCATGCTTGGGGGAAGAGCAGGTGGGAACAGAACAAGTGCCCAGGGTCGGGCTTTCAACAAATCATGATCTTGCCTCTGCACATGGGCTGTTCCTTCTACCTGACACACTGTTCCCTACCTCCCACTCCTCTACTCAAATCTCAAGACGAGGTGCAGAAGGCCCCTCCTCTGAGAATGCTTCCTCAAAGGTCCCTGTTGGGGTTGGGGGCTCCTCTGGGGTCTCAGGATCTCTCTCAGGACCTGTCTATCCCCTCCTCTAGACTCAGGGGTTCCCTGGAGGCCGGCACCACTCTTCTTCCCCATTTTCCCAGAAGGCACTTAATAAATACTTGCTGAATGAATATATGACATGCAGTCTCGGGGACTGAAGGCATAAGGGTTGCTTGGTGCTGGGGTCAGTGAAAGGTGTAATGAGTGTGGCTGGGGACACAAGCCTTGGAAATATGGGGAAGATTGTTCTAGAAGCCTTCAGCAGCTCAAATGGTGGCACTTAAAATCCACCAATAGGCCAGAAAGTTGGAGCTTCAGGGGTGCTAGAGGAACATGGTGTGGCAGTTGTTCCCCATGGATCTCCCTCCACGGGGAGCAAGGGCGCTCAGCTGAACCACAGCTCGGCAGTGGGTGTTGGACCCACTTGGGTGACCGGATGCCTGACATTCCACCATTTGGGCTTCCGGCCGCTGTGTGCCCAGGCCTGGGGCTTTCTGAGGATCTATTCCTGACAGCAAGGTTGGGAAGCGTGTGTGGGGGCAGGGAGAGGAATAATCTACAGCACTCCCTGGGGCAGGGAGCACAGGGGCCCCAGGGAGGGGCTGCTTAATAAGGGGGAGGAAGGAGCCGGAGAAGACGTTGTGCATCTCACAGTTGTGCTTAGGCCGGGCCCGCCCTCAGCGCCCGCTCCAGCCAGGCACTGCCCAGCTGCCTGCCCAGGATTTGCAGGGCGCTGCCCAGCACTCCGTAGGAGGCTGCTTGGGAGGCCAGCAGGCCAGGGTGGGAGCCTTGCTGTGGCTGGACCAGTCCGTGAGGGTGGCCTGGTGTCTACACTGTAGCTACATAGCAGTTACTTGAACTTACACGAGTTCATATGTACCCATTTTATTATTATTATTATTATTATTAGCAACACAGATAGAAAAATAAACAAAGGAAAATGGCTACAATCTTGGATGACCAATGCATTGCATTAATTGTCCAAGACACACTGAAGCGGCCACTGCCCCCAAGCCGGGCAGGGCTGGGGTGGGGAGAGGTCGGCGCCCCCCACAGGGAACAGGACCCCAATCAACTCCGCATCCTTCTTGGAAGGTGCTTGGCTGAGTATCCCCAGCTCACCAAAACGGGTTTCCCAGCCCCGGTCCTTTTGCCATGCCTGGCTGCCCTGCTCCCCCAGTCCTGGGATCACTGGAGTCGGTGGGATCGGATTCTAGGGGTAGAGGCACAGGCCCCACAGAGCTCGACCACAGCCACTGCCCGCCGCCATGCCCACATCAGCCACGTAGGACGGGATCCAACGGCCACCTCTCATCCACACCATCCCATTTTACTGCTTATTCTCCACCAGAGACAGCGGTGTTAACTCTCTCCTCAACAGTGAAGTAGGGGATTGGAAGGAGGCTGGCATATCTGGGGACTCTCCTTCCCCGGGGAAGACAGAGGGGACTTCCCTGAGTGGCCCTGGAGAGCAGGACTAGGGCTGCCTGAGGCCAAGGTCAAGGAGAGGAGCCAGCTTCCTTGAAGGACCATGGGAGGATGGAGTGGACCACCATGGAAGAAAGGGGGAGGATGTGACTGGTAGAGCCTGAGGGTCACTTCCTACCCCATGAGCCGGGCTTTCACGCCTGTCTTGTCCGTGTAGATGGGGGACGGCCAGTCAATGTCCTCCCTCCCTAGGCAGCCTTCCAACCACTGAAGATGCTAAATATTCCTCTTAAAACCCATTTCTGTGCCATCATCACTTGAGGATCTTCCTCCTTGAGTTTTTCCGTTTCCCTCTGTCTGATTTCCTTCTTCTCTGCCAGGCTGCAGGTGGCCACAAGCTGGATCTGGACCCCAGTGATCTGGGCAGGAGACAGTATACTCAAGGCCTCACGCCTTGGCTCAAACCAGTGAAGATCAGATGGCGACACGGTGCTCCTGGAAACCAGCCCCCCGCCCCAGTGCTTTGCCATTGCCCGCAAAAGACCTTCAAGACCCTCCCCAGCCTGGATACTCCAACTCTCGGGCCTCCAGTGCCCAGTGCAGTTCACCCCCTGTCCATCCTGCTCACCGGCCATGGCCTCCGTCCTCCCCTGGGGTCTCTGTGTTTGCTGCTCCTTCTGTCGAGAATGGTGGTTCTCAACAAGGGGAGATTCTACCCCCTATCCCGCCCTGCAGGGGACATGTGGCAATGTCTGGAGACATCTTTGGTTGTCCCAACTTGGGGGTGGCAGGAAAGGGAGGGTGCCACGGGCATCTGGTGTGGGCAGGCCAGGGATGGCTGCTCAACATCTTGCCACGCACAGGACAGCCCCGCCACGACAAATGTCCCCAATATCATCAGCGCCGCGTTCGAGAGACCCCGGCCTAAAAGGATCATGCCTTCCTCTTTCCCCTTCTTGAGAGCTCCACTCAATGTCACCTCCTCAGACCATTGCACCTGCTTCCTCCACAGCAGGACCCCCTCCCCCAATCTCCTGTTACTGGCCCGCTGTTGGTTTTCCTTCCCTAAGCCTCCGTGAGTTGTGATTCATATATTGTGGGCGGCTCCTTGTCCATCTCCCCTGCTGGACTCTCAGCTCAGAATGACTTTGTTTCACTCATTACTGAACGCTCAGGGTCCAAGATGTAGTAGATGCTCAATAAATAACCCATCAAATACATGGCCAATGACGAGATAAGCCCGCTGCATTCTGAACCAACCCGGATGTTGGCATCTGCATGAGGATGCCAAGACCCCTCTCCCCCCTTCACCAGCTCATCACTTAGCCCTCCAGAAAGGCCTCTCCATCTATTGTCTGCCTGTGTTTCTTCCTGCTATCCTAGCCCCAGGCTTTCCAAAATCCTCACTGTAGCTCTGGAAGTCAGGGTATTTTTAAACGAGAAGAACTAGCCAAGCTGGTGGTTTTTCTTTTTTCCTTTTTTTTCCTTAAGTGGTGAAAAAGAAAAACTAAGATTTGTTTTTAATCATTAGACTTTCAAATCTAAGAAGGCACGATGCAAATAGCACGTTGGCATAAACAATTGTTGCCCGCTCAATGGAGGGAGGGAGCCTTTCTTCTGAGCTAATTTAAGCTGAATACATGGCAGCTATTTTTCATCCCTACTATTGTGTGACTTTCTCCTCAGCTCAACGGGCCAGGCCGGGGGAGATGTTATCTGGCAGGAGGTGGTGGTGGTGGAGGATAAGGGGAGGAAGGAAGCGAAGAGGCAGCAGACGGAAAGTACTCTCAGCTGCTTATTAGAGGCAATTCAAGAGCTCAGGAGTAGAGCTGGTGGTCCACTAGGACCCCAGGGAATTCCACCTGCGTGAAAATTTGATTTTGAGCCTTCCTCGCAAGGAAGGAACCGAAAGTAACTGGAGTCAGGTTCCTTTTCCTCACTCTCTCTATGCAACATTCCTTAATTCAGAGATGTCCAGACTGAACCACAGAAACTTTTACAAGTGGCCCCAAGAACAGTCCTTCCTGCTCCCCTGCCTAATACCACACACGTACACACAAACTGTATTTCCTTAAGGTCCCCAGGCCCTCCAGCCCAGATGTTATGTGGTTGGTGGCAGCATTCAGGCCCCGAGAAGTCATTCCCTGGAAGATAAATGATGTCTCTCCAAGCAGGCAGATTACCAAATAGGATCATACCCTGGGTCTTAAGGACAGAATCTTTCTTTCTGCATTTTCCAAATTTCCAGACTGAAAATAAACTACCCATGTCCCCATCCAGTGGCAACTCTGATGTCCTGAGGCTGCATCTGTGCTCAGCAGAAAGGCATGCTGTGATTGATTAGTAATGTCTGCCAAGAGTACAGGAGGGGACAATGGTGGCAGAAATGGCACCTATTTGTCCTCATTGGACTAGATCACTCTTCCAGATCTTCTAGATATAGATCATTCTAGATATTCATCCCAAGAACCTAGCTGAGATAAAAATTCTGGTGAAGACCTAGCTGACGCCCCTGAGGGCATGACTTGTCTATTATTTCCACATTGGTCATCAAGCCGTGGTATGTTGGGACAGTCACCCCCACACAGCAGATTTGACCCCTCCATTGAAAGACACAATGAGCCAAGAGTTTTCTACTTTGTGGCATCCTTGTGCATGGAACCACTGTACACATGCATGGAACTGGGGTCTCCCATCAGCAGGCCTGGGCAGAGTATGTGGGGTGGCAGGGGCAAAGTTTACTGGGGGTCAGCATTTCCTACCAGTATGGAATGGAAAAGCAGGAGCATCTGGTGACCAGTGGCCATCCTCAGCCTCATCTCTCTGCCCAGATGCATCTCATTCACCTTCCAGGTTCATCATTCACAGTGCCATGCTCCCGGGGAGGCCAACTCTGAGCAGGTGGTCTCTATAAATACTGGTTGGTGATCAGCTGCTCTTTTCTGTGGGCCAGCACATTGGCCTTTGCTCTCAAAGGACCGTGCAAGATATCAAGTCAAACTCACAGAGATTAATCTTGTTGTGGATTCAGAAACCAGCCTGGGAAACCTTGGGAAGAGCAGCCTGCTGTCAGCCTTTTAAAAGATTTTAACCACACAGTAGTGTGGTTAAATGCTCTGATAAGTCCTGCAACCAAGAAAAAAAAAATTTAATCTTGGTTTGCCTAAGCATTTCCAAAGCATGTTTGTCCCAGGACCCTTCTGATAATGCAACATTATTTTCATCTAGTCTGCTATGAAATTAAAGGTCTATGGAACATGTTTGGTAAACTGGGCCTAACCTAGATCAGGCAAGCTCCAGGCAAAGCCCATTTCCTCCAGCTCGGTCCTCAATAGAAGCACAGCGGCCATCTCAACTCCATGGAGATGAATCCTTCGTATTCTTGGTGTTAGGGAAAGGCGCTGTGTGATCTCTACGAGCAGGAAGGAACGAGCCATTCCCACCCCTGAGAGGGAGGAACACTCACTGGTGAGTTTCTGGGGACAGGGGATCACAGTTAAACATCCAGTCCAGTATGAGAGAGGCAGAGGGCCGGGCAGACGGTGCAGGCTGCTTGCAGCAGGGGAGCTGGAAGGACCCAGGAGAGCAACCTTGTCAACCCAGACGCACCCTTCCTGGAAACCCGGGCCATTGCCGGCAGCCTGTCAGTGTTCCCAGACTGAGAGCTTCCGTGCAAACTCCTCCAGGGGTCCCCACCCTCTCCTGTGCCCTCCTTCAACCACTTCCTGCTTTCTCTCCCTCTCTCCTGCTTACAAGCTACACATGACCACAGAGGCTGGTACAGTAACCTCCCGGGGGGCAGTGGGGCATAAACCACTCAAACAGGGGTGGGTTCCTAGGAACGCATGAGGCCAAAGACTCGTATTTAAAATGTTGTCTCTACCTCTTAATAGGCTGGCTTGCATTTCCCACAGTTTCTTCACCTATGAAATGGGGATAATGGTACCTGTTTCCCAGGACTGTTGGCCCGGCATATAGTAAGTGCTCAGTGAACAGAGGCTGTAAGAGATGGATCACTACTCTTGCCTCTCAGGGCTCAGATGCTCTGGGACCCCTGGCCAATGGGTCTCTTTACGAGTCACATCCACGGAACCTGGCAAGTTCATTCGGGGTGATGTGGGATCCATAGCACAGAGCCTGGTTGTGGGAATCCCATTAGTGCCCGACCCTGCCTGTGGAGTCCCCTCCACCTTCCCTGCAAGGAGGGGCATCTGGCCCCCTGTGCCAGTGCCTCGCCCCATCTCCGCATTCTGCAAGCTTTTACTGAGCACCTACTATGTGCCGGGCAGTATACTAGGTAAGACCTCTCCCCGACTCTCTGCCCCAGTTGCTTAGAGAATGGCGTGGCTGGACAGGAACCAGTCATTTGAGCTGATCATCAGGAGCAGTGACTAGAGAGGAAGGTGGCCCCCTTAGTGTGACGTGGAGAGAGTCAGGGAGAATGAGAACTTTCAAGACCCCGGTCCCCAGGTTCGGAAGCCCACACTGCATTTGCTTCTCCTTCCCCTCAGAGGTCAGGACTATTCCCTTGCAGGTGCGTGCAGCTGACGGTGGCGGCAGTGGGGGGTTAGCGGAGGCTGGGGCCCAGGGGGCAGCATCCACCTGAGCCTGCTCAAAACCTCACAGGCACAGCCAAAAAAGGATACAGCAAGCACATGGCTCGCCATGCTCCGTTCCTCTGCTGCTGAGCAAGAGCAGAAATAAAAGCAAGTGTCAAGCCACCAACCACTTCAGACTGGGCTTAAGCACACTCATTCGATGGTCAAGTGAGCATCACACAACAGACAGGCCGCCCACCCCCACCCGTGGAGATGACATCGGGACTATCGGACCCAGGGATGAAGGTGTCAGGTTTGATAAGAGCAACATCAGCGTCCTGACCCTCATGGCCCAGGGGTTCTGGGACCTTTCTCCCAGGAGGTCTGCTGTGGAAGAACCACGGTGACCAGTCAAGGCATGAGAGAAAGCTCCTTAGAGGGTGTTATGGGTTGAATTATGTCCGCTGCGCGCACACGCACACACACACACCCACCCACACACCCACGAGACACGTTGAGGTCCTAAACCCCAGTCCCTCAGAATGTGACCTTACTTGGAAGTCAGGTCGTTGCAGGTGTAATTAGTTAAGGTGAGGTCAAACTTTAGTAGGGTGGTGTCCTTATATGAAGACGGACGCACGGGAAGGCCACGTGAGTTTGGAGTCAGAGGTGGAGAGATCCATCCACAGCCAAAGAATGCCAGAGATGACCAGCAGCCCACCAGGAGCTAAGAAGAGGAGGCCAAGGAAGGACTCCCTTGCACAGGGGGGGATCAGAGTGTGGCCCTGCCGACACCTTGATTTTAGGTTTCCAGCCTCTAGATCTGTGAGAATGCATTCCAGTCATTTAAAGCCGCCAAGTCTGTGGGCTTCGTTATGGCAGCCCTGGTCAACGAACACAGAGGGAGGGTCTTGGGTGGTGGAGTATCTGGAATAAGACCAGCCCTTGGGGGGAGGGGGAGAGGCGGGGGTGGTGGTGAAGGGAAGCCTGGCAGGGGATGGGGATGGGGAGCGGGAGGGGGAGGGGGAGGGCAAATCTGGGGACTCAAGGTTGAGCACAGCATGGGAACAAAAGCTGAGAATAGGAGTGTCACCCTGAAGGTGCCTACAATCACAGTCTCAGGAATATCAAGGGTCCTCGTGAGGGACGGAATTGTGCCCCCGGCCACAATACACACTTCCCCCTAACCCCCCAGATTCCTAGGTCGAAGCCCTAACCGCCAAGGTGATTGTATCTGGAGAGAGGGCCTTTAAAGAGGTAATTAAGATGCAATTAGGTCATAAGGATGGGCTCCCATCCAGTCGGACTAGTGTCCCGTAAGAGAGACAGACACCGGGGTTGTGTGTGCCCAGAGGAAAGGCCACGTGAGCACAAAGCAAGAGGCAAGCTGACAGAAAGCCGAGGGGGGAGGTCCTAGGAGAAACCGTTGCTGCCGACATCTCGGACTTGGACTTCCAGCCCCCAGAACTGTGAGACATCACTTTCTGCTGTGAAGTCCCCCACCTATGGTATTTTGTTACACGCTGGCCTGAGCTTAATAGGGTCTTAAATATAACCAGTCCTCCCACCCTCCAAAGCCCGAATTCCCTCTTTACACGCACACCAAGCGGTCTCCACGTCTGCCCAGCCCTCTCCAAGGACAGGGAGCTTCCCACTACCCCAGGCGGCCCATCTCGCATCTTGGGGCAAGCTGTTAGAAAGTTCTTTCCTCCCTGGAACGAGTTCTCTGCCCCCTCTAACTCCCAGCCTGGTTCATGTTCCTCCCTTGGGAGCCATATGCAAGTTGGCTTCTTCTTCAGTGAGACAGTCCCCTCGATCAGAGGTTGGCGGGTGTCTTCTGTAAAGGGCAAGGTTAGAAGTATTTTCGGCTTTATGGGCCACACTGTCTCTGGCACCACAGGACCAAACCCCGTGGTTCGTATGGAAATGAATGGCGGTGGCCGTGTGCCAGTATTGATTTCGTTTATCGACATTTGAATTCTATAGAGTTTTCATGTATTATGAAATATTCTTCTGGTTTTTCCTCAATTAGAGAACGTAAAAACTATCGGGGGGGGGGTTGGATATGGCCCTGGGCCATACTTTGCCGACCCCAGTTCTAGATTTTGCAAGATGGGGATTGGGCCCCGGTCAAGCGTATACCATTTCCTTAGATGATCAGCCACTGGCAGTGAGGGGGGACAAAACCTGTGGGAGGAGATGAAGTCTGGTTTTGTGGGGGTGGGGTGGGAAAGGGGCAGGGCCAGGTATCCTAGATACAAAAGTCTAGTCGTCAGAGATCAATCCAGGGCTCCTATGGACCAAGAAGCCAGAAAGAGGGGGGCCTCTGTGGCAAGATGGGGTTTTCCCCGTTGACCAGCAAAAGGAAAACCAGGATGAAACAGAATTAAGTAAAGACTTTGAGTCTCCAGCTTCATGCACGGGGATATCCCCACATATGGCCAAGGGGGTGCTCCCTGGAAAGGGGGCCCCATTGTAGCAAATGCACGTGGCCTGGGAAGTTGGGTAGCATTCAGGGTGCAAATCCACGTGCCCTTCAAAGAAGGCAAGGTCAAGGCTTCCCCGGGGCATCCTCACTCTGGGGACTGGTGCACTTGGGAAGCCTGTGTAGGTAAGGGTTTGCTCAGAGCAGGGCCCAGGGATAAACAACTTGCTGTCGGGCACAGGGCACCTACACACAGCAGTGATGGGGACAAGTGCACACACACGCAGTCTTTGTTGTGTGGATTCTATAGAATGAGTCACAGGGGAAGCTGGCAATGACTATGTAAACATACACACACCTCCCCCCCTTTTTTTCTTTTTTTCCCTTGCAAAAGATTAATGAATGTGACCTCCTCCCAATATTTGACTCATGAATAAGATTGAGGTCAGCAGGGAAAGCAGAGATTTGGTTCTTCCTTGAATTGCAATGTCTGCAAATGAAAAGGGCCCTCTAAACAATTCAGGGTGGCGTCACCAGGAGGAGGGCGGCAGGGAGGGGCTTCGGAAGCCTGGCTGCTGGAGACTGAGGAAGGTGGGGGCAAAGTAAGGACATGGGTGAAGAGGGAGAAAAGTCAAGAGCAGGTGACGTGGGGCCAAGGACAGACCCAAGGAACCCTGTTTTGCAAAGCAGAGAAACTCCTAGGGAGACGGGAAGGCTGGGGTATCCCCCTGGATCCCTCAGACCTTGTCCTTAATCTTAAGCTGGTTCTTGTGAACAAATGGAAAAATCAGCCTTTGGAGTCCCACCCCTGGGTCTTGACAAAGGCTCTGGGGGGCCATGTGAGTGAATTCTGGAAATGAGAGCGGCAGGAGGGAGCAGTCCTGGCAGTCCCTGGCATTTCAGCTGCAGGGCAGCTGTGTCCGGTCTGCTCCTTCCCATCCTCATTTCCTTTCCCGCACTTAGGTCCATGACAAAGACTGGGGCTCATGGACCCCAGAAGTCCTGATTGGATTCAAGAGGAGCCAGGATTGGATTTCAGGCCTTTGGGGAGCTGGTGGGCAGAGCCGAGGCAGGCCCAAGCCCATGTTCGGGGTTGGTCCACCAGCTGGCTTGCTGGGATTTGTGCAGGTGTGTATAAAACGGCCCCGAGATACACAAGTGTTGAGCCAGGAGCCACAGTAATAGAAGTCCCCAGAAGGGGTACATCCACTTAGGACTAGCCCACAGGGGGGCCTTTAGTCTCTGGTCCTGTGCAGGTGGGAGCCCATTCAGGAAGGCCCTCTGGGAGGCTCAGGGGTACCCCTTGGCCAGAGGCTCCAGAAGCATGACTATCTCATTATTTTTCCCAGTTTGGAAAGCATCTTGGCCCCCAGAGCATGAATCAGTCTGGGGATCACCCAAGGTGGGGAAGACCCCCACACACCCCTTACATCAGGTGGGATGTTGAGTCTGAGCTCAGGTAGGATTTTTGAAGTCTTAGGTCTCCTCTCTGGGAGGGGGGTCCCCTCTCTGGGAGGGGGATGTCGGGATAAGGTAGTGACCAGAAGAAAATCAAGCCTGGGCAGTGCCCAGGGAGGACAGAGAGACTGTGGGCTGACCCTGGGCATCCTACCTGCTGCCCAGCTGCCCCGCAAACGCCCTGCTAGGGGACAGGTTTCCTTTTGGTGCCAAGTCAGATGGGCTTTGGGAACAGAAGACATCCCCTCATAAGGGGTGGAACATAAGAACATAAGACAAGAGGCTCACTGTATTACTCTGACTGCCTGACCTGCTTCCTGGATCCTTCCCGCACAACACTTGGTCCCAAGGTGGCTGGGAAAAGCCACCAGCCCAGAAGGGAAAGAGAGGGAGGGATGGAAGGCATGAGCACTGAGCAAGCACAAGACAGACCTCTCATGGGGAAACCACTCTGGGACTCGGCACCAGGCTGGAGCTGAGAACGCAGAACCTCTACAGCCTTCCTCCTCACCTCCCCCAGAGGACTTACTAAGGGTAAAAAAGGGGGGGATCCTTTGCAAACAAGATGCCATGCATACGCCATATAATCCAACACACATCTATCCGGGACCCGCGCCCGTCTCTGTGGTGGACAAACTTAGCTGGTGTCGATGCCAGAGCAGGAGGAGAGAGAAGGAATGTTCTAGAACTTCCTCCCCAGACCCCCAGTTCTCAGGGCCCAGACTTCAGGGGGGTATCAAGGACAAAGGCGAGCTGCAAGGAGCCCTGAGAAGTCCTCTTGGCGGGGAAGCCACTGTGCTTTTCAAATGGCAGGGGAGCATGGGAGCAGTAAGGCGTAAAGGGACGGCACCCTCACAGAACAGGAGAAGGTGGCAGACATGGGGAACCATGCCCCAGAGAGACCCAGAACTCAAAGACATGCAAGACTGTTTTGTGCCCTTCGGAGCTACGTGCAAAGGAGCCACAGATCGTGACAGGTTTGGGTGGGAGCCTCTGAGAACAGATGTTTACAAAGGAACAGCTGAGCTCCCTGGCCCAGGTCCTGGCCCTGTGGCCTCAGCTCCCCACCCCACCCCATCTTTCCAGAGAGTGCAGCTGGGACCCACCACCCAGGGACCGAGTCAGCTGAGGGGTGCTCCAGGGCTGGGGCAGCAGGGGGCTCTTGCTTGTCACGGGGGATGGAGAGCAAACGGCATTGCACACCGAGCCACGCATGTACACACAGACCGGTCCTGTGAGCCTGCCCACGTGGGCCTCCTGCTCTCGCTTCCTTGGTCCAGGGCCTCCACCTTCAGCCTCCAGTTCTCTTCTCGACACGGCCCCTGGGCCGCATGGATCAATCCCGCGTCTCCCTGGCTGGCCCCAGTAAGTCCTAGCTCAGGGGTCCCGAACCCTGCCCGGGCAAAAGGGCACGGGTCTGGGGAGTGGGGAAGCTGCCGAGCTCGGTCGTGCAGTGCTCCCAGGCCGGCCGGGGTCGGTACCCTCTGATGGTGAGCCTCTGGCCTCCTGAGCTGGCAGAGGGCAGAGCAGGGAAGGAGAGGTGGCTCGGGGGCTGAGGCATCTGAGTGCTGTCCCTTTGTCCAATGGTCACAGTCTGCAGTGGGGAGAGAGGAGAAGGGCAAGAGGTCACTGGATACAGCAATGCCATCTTTGGTGAATGAGCACCCTCTCGGTGGGCTAGGAGGCTTGGGATGAGCTGTTCCTGTCTACAAGAAAAGGTGGAAGGGACACCCATTTATACTGAGGTCTTACTATGTACTGGGTTCATGTACCTGATCTCATTTAAACCTGAGAATAGCTGGCAAGATAGGCAGCTTATACCCCTTTTGCAGATGAGAAAATGGAGGCTCAGAGAGGTTAAGTGTTTTGCCCAACAGTGCACAGGAAGCAGCAGGGTCAGGATTGGAACCTAGAACTCTTCCCACTTGAGCAGGTAGCCTCTGGACTAGGGATGGTCCCCAGCATGTGGGCAGGGCTGCTGCCATGTGCTATTGCTGAGCATGCTCGGTAAGGGCTGGAAATACAGGAAGAAGAGGTGAGACCAGGATCCACACCATACACTCCTGCTATGAGCAGAGGCTTTGCTGACCACTGTTGAGCCAGGATCTGGGCAATCATGGCAGATGTTGGTGCCCACTCTCCCAGCATGGTTCTAGAAAGAACCCTGAAGGTACACAGGTAATCTTTGTGTAGAAGGCAGCAGAGTAGAGGGGTCAAGATCATGGATTCAGGATCCAGACCAACCTGGATTCCAAGGCCTGCTCTCCTTACTAGCTGTGTGACCTCTTGGAAGGTACTTAGCCTCTCTGTGCTTTGGTTTTCTTCTAAGTAAAAAAGTAATAGTGCCTCCTAGGGGGAGCTCCAAGGAGTCAGCAAGACAACGCAGCCAGAATGCTTGACACAGTACCCATTACGCATGTTTGATAGGTGGTACCCAGATGATGGAGATCATGCCGGTGGTCGTGGTAATGATCTAGACCAATGGCGTGCAATGGACATACAGTGCTATTCAAAAGAATCGGAAGCAGGGACTCCAACAGATACTCGTACGCCACTGTTAACCGCAGCATTATTCATAGCGGCCAGAGTGCAAACAAACAAGGCTCCACCAACAGATGGAAGGACAAGCCGAACATGGTAATACACACAATGGAATAGTACTCAGCCGTGGAAAGGAGTAACATTCTAATATGTGCCATACTGTGGATGAACCTAAAGACATGCTACGTGAAGACCCCAGACACAAAAGAACAAATATTGTAGGATTTCACGTGTATAAAATATCTAGAATAGGCAAGTTCACAGGGACAGGAGGTAGGTGAGAGGTTACTGGGGGCTGGAGGGAGAAGGGACCGGGAGTTACTGTTCAATGGGTACAGTTTGTGTTCCGAGGGGACAAAAGGCTTTGGAAATGGTAGTGGTTGCACAACACGTGAATGTGATCAAGGCCACTAAGATGACAAATTGAATGTTATATATATTCTACCACAATTTTCTTTTAAGTAGGCTCCATGCCCAGTGTGGAGCCCAACACGGGGCTTGAATTCATGACCCTGAGCTCAAGACCTGAGCTGAGATCAAGCAAGAGTCAGGTGCTCAACTGACTGAGCCACCCAGGTGGCCCTCTACCACAATTCTTAAAAATAATGTAATATACCCAAACCCTCAGAGTTGTATATTTTAAGTAGGAGGATTATATGATATGTGAACTATATCTCAACAAAGCTGTCCTTTAAAAAAAGAAATGCCACCCAAGTCATGGAAGTCGTAAATTTTCTAGTCATATTTTAAAAGGTTAAAAAAAAAAAAGGTGAACTTAATAGTATATTCTATTTAACCCAATATATCCCAAACACTAGAATTTCAATGTATCACCAGGCCTATCTGTGTAATGGGACAAATTACTTTATGTCCCCCCTTTTTTTATCCTAAGTCTTCAAAATTTTGTGTGGATTTTACACTCACAGGACATCTCATCTCGCCATATTTTGAGTGTTCAAGAGTCACACATGGGGAGTGGCCACTTTTGAGCAGCAGAGGTCTGGACCCTTGCTACTCAGAGGGTGGTCGTTGGACCAACAACACCAGCATCACCTTGGGGCCAAATCTTGCCCCCCCCCCCCCCCCGACCTACAGAACGGGAATCTGCAATTCCCTGGATGTTTGGGATGCATATGAAACTTCAAGACTCACTGCTCTGGAATGCAGGCTTGTCCCAATCTTGTCTCCATTTCACCATGTGCTAAGGCATATGGGGATTCTGGAAACCCCAGCTCCTCAAGTGTGATCCATTGGAGGGGCAAACCCAAGACCCTGGAGGTAAGTTTGGAGTTAGCCGTTCACATCCTTATGACATGCTGGCTGCAGCAGAGACCTCCTGGTTGGTGCCCTCCATGGATTACCAAGGCCTAGATAGGACCTACTTTAAGCCAAGCCCTCTGCGAATCCCCTGCTGACACAGCAGGCTTCCGGAAGGACTCCAGCATTGACCACACCACTGGAGTGACCATCTCAAAGCCAGATGAGTGTGACCGAGGGAACCATAGGGGCTGATGTTGTGCGGAGAGAAAATTTCAGATTAGGGAGGTGGAGCCTGACCTGAGTTCCCAGCTTTGTCAACACCCCAGGCAGATGTGGTTGAGTTTCTGAATGTCTCTGGGCCATAGTTCCTCCAGATGGGAAAGGAGGTTGGATCAACCTGGAAGGCCCAATGAAGGCATCCTATGCATTGATTCTGAGTAACTGGTGGTGGTTAGCAAGAGAGCTGAGTGATGGTGGATGTGCTGTGATAGATTCGTCATGTCTGCCAGAGGTGCAGGAATAGGGCACAGACGCCACACACATTTGCATCCATCCGATAGGTAATCCCTCTCCCGATACGAAAAGACACTATGAATCGAAGCCTGAAAGGAACAGAAGTCATCTTTGTTTCTCGGGGTCAGAATAGAAAAGTCCTGGGGCTGACCTATTGGATGGATGCAAATGTGTATAATGGGCCAAGAAAATGGCCACTCCAGGCAATAAACAGAGGGCCACAAGTGACAAAGTGGGTAGGGACAGAAGTGGGAGTTGCCCTCAGATCTTTGGAACCCCAAGCCCAATACCAGCTATTCCACAAAGGAGAAGCCCTCCACATCCCCCACGACCTTCACTCAGTGGATGACCCTGGGGGAGAGCAGGTGTGGGACCATGTGGCCTCTTGGGGGCCTTCCGGTTCTGCAAAAGGTTTTGCGATACTCTCTCATCCTCTGAATAAACCCCAACTCCTACCGTGCCAACCTGGCCTCTGGCCACCCCTGAGGCCTCACCTCCTATTCCTCTCCCTCCTACCCCCCATGGCCTGGTCGTACCCACTTCCTATCTGTTCTGCCACCTCTGTATGCTCGCTCCCACCTGGAGGGCTCGGATTTCCCACGTGGGGGCCTGGCTTCCTCCCAAGGGCTTTGTCTTAACATGACCTCCTCCAAGGAGCATTCCCTGACCCGTCCCTTCTACCCAAAGCCCCCAGTCTTCACTATCGCAAACTTGTTTTATTGTCTTTTCAACACAACTTCACCTGAAATGATAATCCTTTTAAAACACATTTACCTGCCTATTGTACCTGCTCTAGAAGGTAAGCCCTATGAGGTCGAGGAGCTGATTGACTTTATTCACCCTTGTATTTGCACTCCTAGAACAGAGTCTGACACAGAGAAGGTACTCAATACACACAGACGGAGTAAAGAAGTGAATGAGTAGAAAATTTCACTGACCCTAAAATCCCATCCTGCCAGCCCACAGTGTCTCTAGTTCCCTGTTTCTCAGCCCAACTGCACAGAAAAAAATAGAAAAGAAGGCCCCTGCTCTCCCTCCAACCGGGGAGATTTAAGCCCCTCTGTTCAGTTAACTCCTGCGCTCTCCTCCCTGACGCCCAGGAAAGCAGATGCCACTGGGTGATGGCCCAAATGACACTTGGGGTTTGTAACACTGGGCACTCCTGGGACCCCACCCAGAGCTCTGACACTCATTGGCCAACTTGCCTGCACTCGGTAAGCTGGAGAGAGTCCTCGCTTGTTAGAGCCTCCCTCCCTCTGTTTTCACATTCAAGCCATTCCCAGTCCTGGAAGGCCAGCAGAATGCAGCTGGTCCTCTGCTCAAGTATACGGAATGCTTGCTACGGGGGGAACACTGTCCCAGCCGCCCCAGCGCCCGACCTGACGGTATCCTCCCCACATTCCTGTTGGAGCCGTCTACCACCCTCATTCTTTGGAGGCTGACACTGCCGCTCAGAGACGCCAAGTAACCTGCCCAAGGCCACACAGCTACAAAGTGATGGAGTGGAGGTTCCGATCCCTGTTTGTCTGCAAGGGAGGTCTGTGCTCTTTTCAATTGTCTAAAGAAAGGCTGATTCCCTGGGGGAAGGAGAGATCCTATCCTCTAGGCTCAGCAAGCTCAAATGGTGGAGGGAGGGGTAGCTGAGGGCCTCCTGGGTCTGGTGTACTCTGGTGTGCCATGTAACTCTGTGTGTGTGTGTGTGTGTACACACAAGTCTGCCTCCATGTGTGGGCTTGAGCACAGGGCTGTGTTTTCCTGGAATGGAAGGGGGAGGGGCACAGAGCCTCCAATGAGGAAGCCAGAGAGACACTTATGGCCAGGAGGAGCTGAGAACCTTCCCTGCCCTTGTCTTCATGTGACAGAGAAAGCTGTGAGATGCCATGGGGAGAGGTTGCTGGCCCTGGGGGGTAGATTTCCTGCAAGCCAGGCCTCCTGGAGTAGCAGACATAGAGGCTTGGTGGGTTCAGGGCAGCACCTTGCATCTGATGATCAGACTCACTGGGGCATCAACCTTCATCAGGAAGAGATAGGCAAGGAGGTGGCCATGGTAGCAACAGGGACCAGGCCCTGGACGGCAGACTCTATAGACTCCCCTGAACAGGAACCCGGTAGGGAAGGCTGGTGGCCGGGGGAGGGAGGTGGGTGCATGGAAAGGAGATGGCTGGCAGAGGCGTGGGGGAGGGGAGCAAAGAGGTGGCAAAGGCCAGAGGACAAAGGCTGTGGGGAGAGATACTAAAGAAGAACACCTACTCTGCAGACTTCCAGAAATGTCCGGGGTGAGACAGGCGGCGGTTCCGCTTTGGCAGTTTCTCCAGCATGTCCATGAGCTTAGTGAAGGTAGGTCTTTCTTCTTGTTCAAAGGCCCAGCAAAAGAGAAGAATGTCCTAAAAGAAGCCAGCATGTGGTGATTTAATGTAAATGGTGATGCCTTGATACCCTTTGGCATCTCATTGGGTCTGTCCATTTGTCTACCCATTTGCCCCACTTGTATATTCCCCCATCATCCATCTATCCATTCATCCATCCATCCATCCCAATTCATGCATTCATCCTTATCTATCTATCTATCCATCATCTATCATCTTTCTGTCTTTCTTTCCATCCATCTATCCATCCTTCCACTCATCCAACTCATGAGCCCATATAGCAAACTAGGTAGGTCCCGTTCTAGAAGGTCTAGGATACACTGAGATCATTAATGCTCCCCAAGGAGTTTCTTGGCCATTTTTTTCTCAAAGGGAGGGAGAAAAGTGAATCCTGAGGTCTCTATCCACATCCCCAAACTTTAAATGCTCTTCAAAGTCAAAGAGTGGGAAGTTACTTTTAATAATCACCTCACCTGAGAAAGGAAACCTAGATACGGGTAATCCTTAAAAACATGCCAGATAATTACTCCTTCCCTGACTTATCTGTCTTCTGATCAAAAGACAGCATTCTTCCTGCTGTTTTTTAGAGGGTGATTATTAATTTATACTCAGGCTTCTCTGTTTGTGTATATCTTGTTCTGAGCTGGATCGTGACTTAAAAATTTTTATGTAGAAGCAAATAAAATTAGAATCATAGTATGGTAATATTTTAATGAATATCTTTTAAAAGTAACAGAAAAAGAGGGATTCACTGTTTCTACTTCATACAGCAAACCATTGCCAGGGAAAGTCTGGCCAAGTGCTACTGCACCCTTGAGGCGGGAACCTGAATTGCAGGCATAGTTCAGAAACTTCACCTCTTAAGCTCCAAATCACGATCTGACAAGGCTGTGGACAGGCTTTTGTGCCACCCTCTGGGGAAGCATCTGTAACCTTAACACACAGGAAAAAGGCAGCCCTGAACTGTGTCTACCTCTCTCCTTGTCCCCCAGAGCTGGCACTGTCCCAGGACTTACCGAGATTTCTTTTCCCATGCCGATCTGGCTGAGGTTGGGTTTCATGCCTGTGCCCATTTGCCAGATTATTGCCTCTGCTGGTTGCGTCTTGAAAGGCCACTCCCTGGCATGGAGTTCATACCAAATTGTGCTGTTGGCAGATGTTGTTAAAGGGGTTGTTGATGTGATACATCACTCACTACCCTGTCTCCCCTCACCGACACACACCCACCCAGCCAGGCTGCTGGCTAACCCCTCTACTTTCTAGTTTCTTCCTCACAGGGCTGGTGTTTTGCTAGCTGGGATGCACCTAAAGCTTTCTTGATGTCTTAGAAGTCATAATTGTCCAAGGATACCTTCCCTGGTGCCTGAATTAAAATGAGTCAAAACTGGGCGCCTGGGTGGCTCAGTTGGTTAAGCGACTGCCTTTGGCTCAGGTCATGATCCTGGAGTCCCTGGATCGAGTCCCGCATCGGGCTCCCTGCTCGGCGGGGAGTCTGCTTCTCCCTCTGACCCTCCTCCCTCTCATGCTCTCTGTCTCTCATTCTCTCTCTCGCAAATAAATAAAACCTTTAAAAATAAAATAAAATAAAATAAAATAAAATAAATTAAAATAAAATGAATCAAAACCTAGAACCCGAAAGTGTAATAGAATGTGGCTAGGATTTCTGACCCTGGACTTGTAATTCTAGGAAACCACTGTAAGGAAATACTTAGAGTTACAAAAATCACTTACAAGGATATTCTCTACAGCATTATATATAATATCCAAAAAAGGAGAAATGACACAACTGTTCAATGAAAGGAATAGGTTGCATGTATTATGGTAAATCCATAAAACAAAATGGAATATGATATTATTATTGAAACATCTCAATGAAATTTTGCTGACATGAAAAAATGTTTAATATCTAATTTTAAGTGAAAAAATCAGGACAAAAGACTGTATATAAGGTAATAACTACTCTTAAAAAATTATATATGTATCGGCAGGAGAATAAAGAGAAATAGCAAAATGTTAACAATGGCTAACTCTGGGTGATCGCATAGGATTTTTTAAAAATAGTTTTGTTTTCTAAATATAAGGCATCCCATGGAATAGTGGGGAAAAAATGCTGGGGGGTGTGGGTGGCAGGGAGGGCCTTGGCGGATCCATGGGGTGCTCACAGGATGCTAGGGAATTGCTGAGCTGTACCATGGGAATAGGTCTCAGCTCACTGGGAACAAATTCCCCAACTCAGGAAATGATCTTTCCTCTAATCTAATTTATGCAAATTTGCTTTAAAGAACATGAAGCGCTCTGTTATCTTTACTGATCAGAGGACTCTGTCAAACCAGCTATTTCTAGGGTCCCACTTCTCAGCATATTCTCTCCCCTACCCTCATCCCTCTGGGGCTCGGAGGGGTGACGCTCAGGTGTTGGGGTGTTGAGCTAGATGATCGGGAAGTTGTCACAGTAAGGTGCTAGATGATGACTGTTGCCATCGTAATAATCAGTTAACACTGAGTTTTTACTCCGTGCTAGACCCTATTCTAAGCCCTTTGCATTTATTATGATTACAGGGGAGGTGTAAGAAACATGCCTTCTTATTTTGATGATTTCACATCTGAAGGCCTCCCTGACCTTGGAGGGGCTGCCCTTCTCCCCAGGGCCAGCTTATTCCTAGAGATAGTAAATGACTCTCTTGCCAGTGTGCCTTTCATAGGCAGACTAACCAATCCAAAGCCCCACCCCCACCTCCATTAGGCTTCCACTGGGACCAATATTCCCCACCCTACTCAGGATACCCCCACACCCCAGAGCCCACTAAATTAGTCAAACTAGGGTAACCTTAGCCTTTTTACCCTGCTTCACCGGTTCCTCCCCCAGTAAACCACATTAAAGCCTCTTGCCCGCATTTTCCTCCTGCCCCCTCTGCCTCCTGACCCTGGTACTTTCCCCGTGTGGCCTGATGTGCCCCCTCCTTTTGAAAACCATGAACAACAAACCATCTTTCCAATGACAGTTGCTTCCTGCATTATTGCCATCATCAGACCCGAATAAAAATAAGACCTACATTTTCAAACAGGAGGCATGATCGTCATCCCCATTTTTCAGAAGAGGAATCTGAGGCTCAGGAAGTTTATGTATCTTACCCAGGGTCACACAGCAGATAAGAGGTGCAGGTGGAAGCTGAATCTGGTTGATCTGACTACAGAATTGCACCACTGGCCATTATACTACAAGAAACCTACACTCAATCCTATTCCAGAGTCCTTTGTAATTGTAAGTGAAGGATCTGGGGGGGGGGGGGCGGGGCGCAACCCGGCAGCTGATGGTTGGGGCCTGGGTTAGGAGGCACAGACAGATTGCAGGCAAGGGCTCATGGGAGAGGGGCAAGGGAGCCTAGCAGGAGCTTGGGCGCAGGTGTCTTACAGGTGTTTTCTCGCTCGATCCTCAGAGCGCCTCGCTGGGTTTATTACCTTTTATTTACGGTTGAGGGAAATAGGGCTTTTCGTGGTGTGAAATGACTCTGAGGTCCCCGTGGCTAAACCCTCCAACTCTGGAGTTAGGATGTCCCAAGTGTGACTCCCAGATCCACCCCTGATTACCATAAGGCAAGTCGCTGAGCTGCCCAAGCCTATTCCCTCCCGTCATTTGGGTGCCTGTGAAAATTCCAGGAGATGGCACCCACAAAAACCTTAACACGGTGCTCAATATGCTTTTAAAAGTCCAGTTTTGTTCTAAATCATGCCTAAGCATGATGTTCCCAAGCAACAAGATGCACCTAATTGGCAGGAAACCAAGAGCGCCAGGTCCCTTGGAATTCAGCAGTGTCAGGAATAAAAGCCTCGTTAAAACTTCCTTTCAAACCCAACTTCCAAGAGAAACACACTAAGAAAAAAATAAATTGCTAAAGATTAAAACTCCAGTGGAAAACCAGTTACTTACTTTGGTACATTTGTTAATTACATTCTTTTTTCTTTTGCTAAATTTATACTAAAATATACCAACTTAATTATTGCAGTTTGGTTTCAGGTAACAGTAACTAGATAAAGTTTTGGGCATACACTAATCAGGGCAAATGACAATGTCTAAAAGGGTCCAAGTGATAGACGTCGAGAATCCTGATGGGCCAGCAAATGTCCCCCCATCCCCCCCTTCTTGAGATTTACAGAGAAGACATAGTAGGGGTACTTTCCCATGGAAGACACTCTCTCTAACATCTCTTGGTGGTGCTAAGTCTAATTGCACACATCTGCAGGGTTGCAACTTTCCCAAACAGCTTCCCCAGTGTTGTCTCTGTTTGTAACCACCAATCTTTGCAACAGCTCCAGTGGACATGGTAAGGTGAGGATTAGCATGGCTATTTGAGGAATGGGAACTTAGAAGCCTTCCCAGATGCACCCTCTTGGAACCCTCATCCTGCACCTTGGGGCTGCATCCTGCACCTTCTATCCTTCTCTATACTTGCAAAGACATCCCGTTCTGTCTCATGATGCACTTTCTCTCTCTTTGCTGAGAAGCCCTAAACTCTTCTTTCCCAAACTCTTGCTGTGTAGATACAGTTGCTTTCTGGTTGGTTCCACTGGCCATCTCCAAGATAGCCCAGACTCACTGTGTCCAAATGTGCTCTCTTTGCCTTCTCAGCATAGCCCAGGCGGACCCTCTGGTGTCTCTGCCTTGGTGAATGACACTAGTCTCCACCCAGTTGCTTAAGGTAGGTATCTGGGCACCACCCGCACTCAACCCATCATCAAACCCCATCCCATCCACCCCCAAATGCTTATGTCCATTTCTAGGGTCCAAACCCACTAGCACTGATTTGATGGAGAATGCCACCATCTCCCCCTGGATTGGTCACCCAACTTCCCAATCTCATCCTTCTCCTTTCCATTCTCTGCACAGCAGAGTGATTGTTCTAAAACTCAAAGTATGATTACATCACTCCCCTGCTTAATAACCATCAATGGCTCCCCAGTGCTGTGAAGATGAAGTAAAAACTCCTTAATTCAGCCTCTTAGTCCCTGTAGGAGTCACTCGGATTCCCTGTCTAGTCTCTCCTATCACCACCCCAGCTCATTTTTTCCTGATTCTCCATCTCTCAGCTCCCTCCCCCTCCCACTCCCCACATGTTCCTCCATTGTGGGCAATCTGTTTTCTGTTACCCTAGGCCTCTTCACCCGTTCCTTCTATCTAGACACCTCACCCTACCCTCATCTCGCCCACTTATATTCAACCTCTAACTTAGGCTCAGGAGTCACCTCCTCTGGGAAGCCCTCTCTGATCTCCCAGGCTAGATTTAGGTTCTTCTTTATTAGCCCAGTCTTATGTTTATCCTCAGCATAGTATTTATCATACTCTGCTAAAATGGACTATTTCCCTGTTGGTCTTCTACTAGAAAAGATAGAGTAGGGGCCTTTGGTGGCTTAAAAATCGGTCTACAAATTTTTTGATATTCCTTCCTGCAAAACGTAGAGCTTCATTCACCTCTCCTTGATTGGGTGACTTGTTTCTAACACACAGAATGTGGCAGAAGTGAGGATACATAATTTCTGAGACCAGCTCATAAAGGCAAGGTGGTTCTAGACACCGTGTTGTGAGGTCACTCAAGCAGCCTATGGAAATGCCCACATGACAAGGAGCTGAGGTCTCCTGCCAACAGCCATGTGAGGGGGCCCCCCTGGAAGTGGATCCTCAGCCCATCAAGCCTCCAGATGAGACTGCAGCTCCGGCCCACATCTTGACCACAACCTCATGAGAGATCCTGAACCAGCTCAGAACCATTCAGCTAAGCCACCCCCACCCAAATTCCTGACTACAGAAACTTGAGATCATAAATATTGCTTTAAGCCCTCAAGTTTTGGATAATCTGTTAACAGTAGGTGTTCCATAGATAGGTATTGCTTCAGTGAATGAATGAATGAATGGGCCAAGTAACTCGCCACAGTCACATAACCAGTTAGAAACCTGGCATGAAGGTTTGCTAGGGTCACTCTTTCTACTACGCCCCACTTGGATACCCCCAGTCTCACCCAGAAACCTGACCACCTAGGCCCCAGCAGATAGGTGCCCCATCTCTTCCAAAAGGAGAGAAGGAAGGCTTGGGCAATGTCCCCCTGCCTGGGCTGGGGCTCTCCACGGCCAGCGTGGGCCACCTACCCGAGCGCAAAGACGTCCGAGTGCTTGGAGAAGGGGAGTTTATCCTCTTCTGTGTCGGGAGACAGCTGGCGGATGATCTCTGGTGCCAGGTGGCAGAGCCAGCCATTCTGGATGCGTAGCTTGTCTTCCCGCCTGGAGAAGCAAAACACAGAGGGAGCCCCACCTCACAGCCCAGGGAGGACTAGTCCCCCAGCACTGACCCCAAGTCTCTGGACCACCTCCGCTGGCTTTCTTGCATCTCCCACCCTGGGCATGCCCTGCCCTTGTCCTTGAGGCCGAGCCCCAGTGAAAGGGACAGGGAAGACTGATCTGGGAGGGAGACACTCAACACCCAAACCATCATCAGGTCCCTCTGCCTCTGAGGCACCCCCTCCTGCATATTCATTCAACCAGTACAGCGGAGTCTTGGTATTCATGGCAGTTATGTTGTATAAAGTCTCCACAAAGAGTGAATTAGCAAATACGGAATCATTGCTCTTAGAGGAAATAGGTATTCACGCACACACCTCACATCGATCATAACCTAAAACCTAAAAACAACTCATCCTAGTACATTCTGTTTTCATTATTTTACGGAAGAGAAAACAAGGCTCAGGGGTGTTGAGTGATGTGTCTGAGGCGGCCCCACAACCACGTGCCAGAGTTGCAAAACTCTGTCCCACTGGCCCCGGGGCCCAGGGCTTCCTGCACCGCATGGCCCCCTCCCGTCTCTGTCCCCTGGTCATCTCTGTATGAGAGCTCAAACAAGAATGCAGAGTATCCCCTTATCTGACCTCAGCTGGGAACACATACATCAGGTGATTCAAATTTTCACCACCCTGTGCATGCCCGTGAATGACTGCGAAGGGGCCATATTGATTTGGGGGTGCAAATAGATCTAAGTGAGTAGGCAAATTTGCAAATATGGAATCCATGAATAATGAGGATTCACTGTATTTTTGGAGAACGTGCTATGCCTAAGCTCTCTGTTTTCGGCACCAGGAACACAGCAGTGAAGGAGACGAGCAAGGTCTCTGCCCTCCTGGAGCCTGTGCTTTGGTAGGGGAAGATGACGACAAATGAATTAAATAAACAGGAAAAATACAGATGGTGATAAGCACTATATGAAAAAATTTAAACAGGGGAATGTGTCAAAGATAAGAGGGAACTCACTTTAGATAAAATTTTATCTGTATTTATCTTCACATGGTAAGACTTTCATAAGTACAGAGCTTTCCATTTGGGACTGAAATCTGAGCAGACTTCCTCCAAGGTTTCCACTGATTCAAGACTCCCAGGGAAGGGCCAGTTACTACAGAGAGAGGGGGCAGTGATGGGGGATGGGGATGGATATCTCCAACCATCAGGAGTGAGATCGTGATGGCCCAGAGCCTCCAGAATGTGGAGACCAGGGGCTGGCTGGATTCTACAGTTCTCCTAGGGTGGGCTTCTGGGCTATGTCAGGTGTAATGTGCTACTACTCCTTGAACTGCACTCATTCATATCCCGTGACAATGATTCTTGCCCTATCTGAACACTTCTAGAGTGGCACTATCCCATAGAACTTTCCATGGTGATGGAAATGTTCTCCGTCTTTGCTATCCAATATGGCAGCCACGAGCCGTCATGGCCATTGGGCACTTGAAATCCAGCTAGTGCAGCTGAAGAATTGAACTTTAAATTTTATTTAATTTTAATCAAAGTTAAAATTACATAGCCTTATGTGGCTGGGGGCCATTGGACAGTACTGCTCTCGACTATTATTTACCACAAATGAGGTTTTTCATTTACTTCTTACCATGACCATACATGGGAGCTAAGACTTTTTTAGTACACATTAAAATTAAGATGAAAAATGCTTATTCACGTCATCCCTAAAGTTATCTTGTGGACCACACGGCGGGAGTAGGGGAGAACCCTGAAAGGAGAGGTCCCAGGAGTTTTGGGGCTGGATAATTTTTTGTGGTGGGGGCCTGTTCTGTGTCGTGTAGGACGTTTAGCAGCATCCCTGGTCTCTCCTCACTGGATACCAGTCTGACCCTCTCCCCTGTTGTGACAACTAAAAAAGTCTCCAGACATCACAAATATCCCTGGGGAGGGGGCGGGAGAGTCCCAGCGGTTCTCTTTTATACAGAAAATAAGGAAATGGTCCAAATTTCAGTCTTTCGGCATCAGCAACACAGGACTTGCTACACAGCAGACCCAAATCCATTGGCAAGCCCTTGAGTTGGCAGGGCCCAGTGAGTTCTTGCTTCCAGAACTGGGGATGCCTGCAGGAATGTAAAGACCTATCTGCTGCTTACTAGCCATGTGACCTTGAGCAGACCTGAGTCTCCACTTGCCCATCTGCACAATGGGCACATTAATCTCACACAACCCTGGTGCAGGGCTGTGTCAGCTGCCAGGGCCATAGGATTATTAGAATTATTACCTATGGATATGTTTACATCTTGAGGACTCAGAGATGGAGTGAGACTACAGCTCAAAGTAAGAACATCACATAAGAAGGAAGGGCCATGGCCTGAGCCAGCCAACACTCTCCGGGCACAACCGGGCCACTGGGGGTGAGGTGAGATGGGGTGCTGCTGCCGAAAGGGAGAGCACCCCAGTTCTGATTGCTTTCTGACCGCCCCTGCTGCCTATTCTGGACTTGCTGGCTGAGTGCAGGTTTGCAACTGCAGGCTGGGCCAGGAGGAGGGGTGCTGGCCACTCCCTAGCCATCAGCCCAGGGTGGGAGGGGGCACACGCCCGGGAGGGGGCTGGATGCCAGGCCTGGCCCAGACACTCCGGGATGTCCCATTCCCATGGCGATGGGCCCACTGGTGACAAACTCAAATCATCTTCATTAAGGTTATTATTATGATTAATAACAGCCTGTGGGTGGCTAGCACCATAGTGCTGGCATGGGAAATGACACCTTTTCTCGAAGATGGCAGAAGAGCTGTATGCTGGCAAAGCTGGGGACGGGCTCGGGGAAGCCCCAGGGTCTGTCTGGATGTTCAGGACATGCTCACTTCACTGGGTAACCCCCACCCCTGCCCAGGCCCGGCATATCTCCCCCTGTTGGGAACCCAGCATTGTGAATGCCCCAGGCTCTAACGGGGGGGCGGGACATCAAGTAGCCCCTGCTGAGTGCCTACCGTGCATCAGGTTATCCATCGCACTTCATCCCAACAAACCCACCATAGGATGGGTAAGATCCCTGCTCTGTGGATGAGGACACAGAGCTTCAAAACACTTAAGTGACCTGCCCAAAGCTGCGGATGTAACAAGTGACCCCAGAGACTCCCATCCACAATTTTACAGCAATTCCTGGAGAAATGGCACCCTTAGGGAGCAAACTGAAACCCTACAGGAAAACTAAGTCTGACATACAACTGCAACAGAGAACATTCAACCACCACAGAAGACCCCCGATCGGGACTCGTGGGCAGCCAAGAAATGTGGATTTCTTCTGGGAGAGGTCGCTGAGGGCTCCCTGGCCTTTCCTGACACTGCCCGGGGTTTGTGTTGACGACCAGGCTGGGCAGGGGTGGGGTTGCAGAGTGACGGCTGGACAAAGAGGCCAGCAGCCACCTTGCCCTTGACTTGAACTTGCTTCTCCGGTTGACACTGGGCCTCTGTGAATGAGGTGAAGGAAAGGATGCTCACGTCATTCCATTTCCTTTCTTCCTCTTTACCCTGGGGCTTTTGAAAACTGAGAACCAAAAGGGAGAAAATCAGAGGTCCTGCCCCCTTTTCCTCCACCTGCAGGACAATCCACTGGCAAGGACATGCCTCTGGGTGGGAGGAATCGGATTTTTTTTTTTTTTAAGAGCCTTGAAGCAGGTTCACGGAAAGCATCTGCTGGGCCTCTTTTTGTCTGGAGGCAGATACTTGAGTTCATAGTGATGTTACTGCTTCCTCTGCCCCTTAGCCTGGGGTGATGGATGAATGGATGTGGGGATGTGTGTGCGCATGCAAATCCTCCCAGCAAACCCACTTGTAAGTGCTCCTGGGGAGACAGGGAGGAAGGAACACGGTTCAGCCCTCCTGGCTTGTTGGGTCCGACTCGAGGGACTCTCTCCACCTACCTATCCACTGATCTCCTTGTTCATTTACCTACTTCTTCTCTCATCTTAGGTGCTACAGTTTTGGAGACCGCACTGAATCTTTTTGGGCGGAGTAAAACCTGAAGAGACACTTCCGCTTCTGTTATGCTTTCTGTTTCTAGATCACACAGAAAGCGGCTAGATCAAGTGTTGCTGATTTTTGGATGCTCTTCAAGGCATTATATAGCATGAACAAAATTCACCTGTGGGGGTGGCCCTGGGGTGGACCTCAAAGAGATCAGTACCTCAAAGCAGCTGAAACAAGTAAAAGGAGAGTGTGGGACTGCCATCCGGAGGAGGCACGTACAGGTTATAAAAGGCGCGAGTAGAGAAAACCACAGGGTTTTTAAGTGTGTGTGCGTGCGTGTGTGTGTGCACGCACGCGTGGGCCTGTGTGTGTTCGTGCGCCCACACTCCAAATTAAAAGTCACAGAGGGCAGACCTCCTGAATCATGGGCTGTTTATTTGGAATCAAGTTGTTTCTCACCATCACCTCAAGGCAGCTTGCCCTTGGGTGAGTGGCTCCTGAGAGTTAATTACTTAAGGATGGTTAATGATTCTCCTGGGTGACACTGGGGGAGGTATATGCAAATTTATAGTAATTACAACAACTCAGCAGCAGCTACTCTGTGAGTGTTCCCTGTGCTCCCGGCACTGCTTTCGACACTTGATTGTGTTATTTCAGCCACACAAGGATCCTGTGAGGTAGGCATGATCACACCGTCATTTTTCTTGTAGACATGGAAACTGAAGTGCAGGGAAGTTCCAGGAGTATAACTAATGTCACAGTGATTAAGTGGCAGAGCCGGGGGGGCGGGGCACACGTGGGTCTGACTTTAAATCCCTTAGTACCCTTGCTGCACTAAAATGGATCAATTCATAAGACAACTTTGAGCAAGGACTCTGGGGTGCTTCCAACTGCCAGGTGGGTACTCAGGGCAAAGGGAGGATCTTCCAGTTAAATTCGAGGGCAAGGGCTTTCAGGATTTAGGGATGCTCTGTGCCCAATAACGCCCATGCTCCTAAAAGCACCACTTGCAAGACAGGCCCCCCAGGGAATCACGGCTTGAGCTGGCAACAGCAACAGCCTAGCCGCCCAGCTAAGCGACCTCAGGCCCCCAGTCTCCGTCACTGATGCCATTTGGGTGACTTCTCACCCCTGACTGTCATCGGCCAAGAACTCCGCGGGGCCCTTCCACCACCGCTCACCTGCCGGCCTGCAGCACCCCGGAAATGCTGAAGAGCCCAAAGTCTGTGATCACCACTTTGCCGTTGTCATAGAAGACATTCTTTGACTTGAGGTCCTTGTGAAGGATCCCCTTTGCGTGGAGGTAGCCCATGCCCTGTAGGAAGCAAGGAAATGGGAATTTTCAAGGAACACCTGAGTGCTCGCTGCTGCTACTTGGCTTGGGTTCACCCTCCTTGCCTTTCCAACAAGAGCGCCTCAAATAGCTGAAGTTCTCGGGACCCCAACGCAGGCGCTCAGAGGTGGGGTGAAAGAAGTCATGGCAAGTGGAAACAGGCAGGGTCCCCAAGACACACATCCGCCACCACCCTCATAGCCCCGCCAAACTGTTCCCACCTAGCACTTCTGCTTCTTGAAGAAGAGACAAAGAAAGATGTCCCTGGTGGGGAAAGAAAAATTGAAGACAAAAACGGAGAGGAGGTCCCCGGAGAAAGGAATTCCATCCACCACCTCCCCACACTTCCTCTTTAAAAAATAACTCCTCTGCAGGAGATTTGTTTTATGTCCACTTAACCCGTATCAGTGCAGAATGCACTGCATTCCTCAAGGGACGGATCATGAGCCAATGATCAAGACCACGGAGGAGTCTAGTGGAGGTCTCCCTCAAGGGTGAGTCTCTAGATTTTTGGTTTTTCCCCTTTATGAGCAGTCACATTTTAATCTCTTCTAACAGCTCAGTCCTGACACTTCCAGTGGCAACTAAAAGCCCCAGTCAACTGACTAATGAGGCACCTGCCAGAAAACACAGGATGTTCCAGTTTGTTTCAATCCCAAACAACTTGCAACAATTGGATGTTTCCCAAGCAGCTGCGGAAAGAGATGGCTGCACTCATGGGAATTCAAGCATCGGCGGGGTAAGGGATTCTAGCCACACAAACTTATCCGGGTCCCCACAACAGGCCCAATTATCACGATGCTGGGGCACCAGATGGCAGCCAAACATCGGGAGACCAACCCTCATGGTGGTATCCGGGCAAAGCCCTTCCTCACCTACAGCCTGCTATTTTTCAGATCAAGTCTAATTTTTTTTTTTTTTTTTAATCCAGACTGTTGGTCTGAAGCCAGACCATGCATCTCAGGAGGAAGCCCCAGACCCTGTGGTACCTTCACAATTTCTTGAGCAATCTGCCTCGTTTTGTTGACATCCAAGACGATTTTGGCATCCCTCACCACAGAATAGAGCGTCCGTCCCTTACACAGGCTGGAAAGCGAAAGGCAAAATAAATGATCAGCAGTTGTTCAGAGGAGAGTGACCCACAATGGTTGTTAGATGTGACAAATAAGACTGCAGGTGCCTCTAGTTTGCCTATCAGATAATGAGCCTGTAACCGGACCTCAGATCTGGTTCTGGGATGCAGATCGGGGCGGGGGCACGTTCTATCACCGACACCCCCACCCCGGCATCGCAGGATACCTACAGAATCTAACCCAGGCCAGAGGCAGGCTTGCCACGTTCCGTCTGTCCCAGATTGCACAGAAGGAAAGCTGCGCGTAAACCAACAGCTTCTGGGGTTCTCAGACACCACTCAGACAGCACTCTGCCAGCCACTTGTCCCAGCTGCTCCGCTCACCCGAAGCAGCTGAGGGACAGCGATAAAAACACCAGCGAAGTGGTGGCTCACGTCCACCAAGTACCATCGGCCAAAGATGCATTCAAGCCTTCAGACCGTGGCGTGTCAATACCAATACCCCTCCCCCCAAACCAGATGCCTGTCGAGATAGAGGGCTTTTCAAACCATTTTCAGCCTCATTGAGTTCATTTCGAGGACCAGTGGTGTAAGATAAATGACAAGATGACAAAGGACGGTAATGCAGTGATGGTCACACCTCCCCGTTTAGTTGCCTACATGCCCATCCATCTGTCCCTCCCGCAGTGCGCTCAGTTCCTGGCACGCACGCAGCAGGCCCTCAGTACATGGTCATGGAATGGATGAGTGAATGAATGAATTCTAGATTCACCACTGCATTCCCAGCCCCTAGCACCATGTCTGCCTCACGGTATCCGGTGTTGGCTAAAAGAGGAAAGGATGGTATCAGGAAAGTTCATGTTCCATCTCATGTCAAAATAATGGCTTGAATTTTTCTTTTAATCTAGGACTTCATTGCTAAAAGACTCTTAGTCCTTCCTTTAGTATCCTCGAGCCTTTGTTACATGCTAGAATAGCTGAGATCATGTGGTTGAGCTGGAACTGTGGCAAAGGGACCTCAGTTTGGATCCCAGCTGTGTTCCTTACTGTGTGTCTTTGGGTGGGTTACTTAACCCCTCTGGGCTTCAGTTTCCGCAGCTATCAAAGAGAATATGTACCTTGTAGAGTCAGTACGAGGACTGAATGAGAGAAGGAGCCCAGGGTGGTGCCTGGCACGTGGTGGAAAGTGTAGCACAGGGGTTAGAACAGGGGCCTAGTCAAACTCTGTGGGTTAGAATCCTGGCTTGTCAGTTAATGGCTGTGTGACCCCAGGAAGGTGAGTTAACCTCTCTGAGCCTCATTTTCATTATCTGTAAAATGGGGTCAATAGTTCCTGCCTTACAAGATTGTTAAGGAGAACCATATGAAATCAGGTGTGTAAAGGGACGGGCATCTCTCCATGCCTGACACATATTAAGTGCTCATGAAATGCTGGCTGTTAGGAGAGGTAGTGAATGATCAATAAAATGGCAAATGCACACACACCCTTGGCAAATACGTATTATATATTTATACACACATCACATCTGTTTGTCCATCTATTATATTACTCTCTACCTAGCTATGTATCCATTCATCCGCCCATATATCCGTCCAAAATGCTACCCGTGATCTTTGACTAAGATTTATTTCTTCACTTCCTTAAGGTGAGATTCTCAGGGAAGCTGACTCCCAGGGAGTCTGATTCACCTGTCCAAGGTCGCCCAGTGAGCTGGCAGGAGGCAGCCACGGTGACTCGAGGCTATCCCCTGTCGTTGCTTTCCTGGGGGTACATTTGCTATGGCTGCTGCAGGAGAGGGGGAGGGAGTGGGCTGTACAGCCAATTAAACCATACTGACATTTAAACATTGGAGATGGTGGAGACCGTGGGTGGATTCCCTCCCCTGGATACTCAGTTCTTGAACAGCCACCTACATGCATTACCGGTCAGGGCGCAGAAAATGCCGTCTCCACTGCATACGGCAGAGCAAATCACTGCAACAGGCTCCCAGGGTCCCTGACTCTCCTTCCCAGGGTAACCACATACAAGTCACAGGCTTCAAATACCCTCCCATCTTCTTTCTCTGCTCACATCTTCCTCTACAGGAACAGCTGCTAAAACCTTTGCTTCTCTCACTACCCTGTGGTTTCTGGGGCTGCTGGAGAAACCACCACCTACTGGTGGGGATGTAAGTCATACAATCACAACTTGGCAGGGCTACCAGAGTGAAATATACAAATAACCCACGATCGGCAATTCCTCCCCTAAGTATAAACGCAACAGTCATGCATACTCGTGTTCACCCACGGATATGCCAGAAGGTACTACCATGTTAACAGCAACCCATTCATAATAGCCCCACACTGGAGCTAATCCAAATGTTCGTCAACAGAAAGATGGATAGATTGTGACAGCGTCATAGAACCATGTATGTTTGTACTATACTATAAAATAATAAACTATTGCTAACGGCAACAAACATAAACACAATGTTGAACAAAAGAAGCCAGACACACAGGACTCACATGGAATGATTCCGTATGTATAAAGTGCAAAAGCAGACAAAACTGACCCGTATGTGTGAAGTCAATGTAGTGGTGACCCTTGGGGGCTGGGGAGGCTGGAGAGGGCATGAGGGGTATGGGGGGAGGGGGCAGGCAATGTTCTGTTTTGATTGGGGTGCGGTATAGGACTGTGAATTTAGTCGAAATTCATCAGGTTGTGCTCTTAGGATCTGGACACTTTGCCAGATATTACAGTTAAAAAAGTTTGCTTCAAACAAATTGGCAAGGATGAACAATATGCATGTTGAAATTTACAAGAAAATCTAAACCAACACTGATACCCAGCCATCCACTTTTTTTTTTTTTAAGATTTTGTTTATTTATTCATGAGACAGAGAGGCAGAAGGAAAAGCAGGCTCCTTGCTGAGCCGACAGGCTGATGCGGCACTCGATCCCAGGACCCTGGGATCATGACCTGAGCTGAAGGCAGACGCTTAACCGACTGAGCCCCCCAGGCACCCCCCCCCCCACCCTGTAACCACTTTTAAGCTCTTCACATAGTCACAATTCTGTCTGCAGGGGAATTAGGGGCTCCGGGCCTGGCTGTGCCTGCCAGGTGTGTATCAGGGGCTGAGTTGGAGAGCAGGTGCAGGGAGAAGGCTGAGCTCTAAGTAGGAGCAGGCATCAGGCAGGTGTCCAGGGTGGCTGAGGCTCGGATACACCAGGCAAGTCAGTCCAAGTATCTTTGGCAACTGCTCTGAGCTTGGGGTTTCTGTAGCTAACAGCAGTGCCCCAAAAGCCACTTGTGGGGTGGGAGGTGGAGAAGGGAAGGGAGGAGAGGATGAAGGTTTACTGAGCACGTGTGTGGGACCTAAGTCACCTCCACAAATCCTCAAGGCAGCCCCGCAGGGTCCACACTATTGCCCTATTCCTGCCGATGAGGCTACGGAGACCCAGAGGGGCGGAGGACCTGCTCACAGACACACAGACATGGTGTCAGCCTGTTCCTGATCTTTCTCTCATCCCTTCTGTGGTATGGGTGCCCAGTTACCAGACGTGATTTGGGGGCCATTTAAGAGACACGCAGGCAAGGGAATCCAAATCTGACTCTACCATTTACTACTTGCTGGGTGGCCTTGGGAAGTGACTTTGATCTCAGTTTCCTCATCTGTAAAACAGGCGTAATGTAACACCACCGGCTAATGTGCATGAGCCCTTTCTAGGTACCAGCTGCCAGCCTAGGCACAAGGGCCCCGCATGGTGGGTATTCTTGCTGTATTCCATGGATTCCAAGATGCACATTTCCTTGAAATTCAACATCTCCGAAAGCAGAATGTGTCTTATTCATGAACAGGTAACAGTTTTGTTGGCACTGTATTTCCTTCTTTGTCCATGAATACATGGTGCACATTGTAATTAATAGCATCTTGGATTTATTGAAGTCTTGGATCAGCCATGGTTTTTTTTTTTTTTTAAGATTTTATTTATTTATTTGAGAGAGAGAGAATGAGAGAGAGCACATGAGAGGGGGGAGGGTCAGAGGGAGAAGCAGACCCCCTGCCGAGCAGGGAGCCCGATGCGGGACTCGATCCAGGGACTCCAGGATCATGACCTGAGCCGAAGGCAGTTGCTTAACCAACTGAGCCACCCAGGCACCCTGGATCAGCCATGTTTTACAGATAAGGAAACTGAGGCTCTTAGAGGTTCAGTGGAGCTGGGATTTGAACCCAGGCAGCCTGGCTCCAGAGCTTAGGCTCTTAACCCTCATCTTTTGCTCCATAACTTTCTCTGAGACGCCAGCATGTCACACGCCCTCAGTAAATGGTAGTCATAATGTCACTACTATGGCAATGGGGATGAATGAGCCCGCAGGCCTTGGTGGCAGTCAGTCTGGAGGTCAGGAGAAGGTGTTTTAGTGGCTTAAGGATGTAGTTAGTAGCCCTCTAGCTTCTGGGGCAGTAAGCGCACGCGGGCACACACACACACACACACACACATTTCCCCTCTCAGTATCTCTCTCTGCAAAATGATCACGTTTCTCCAAGAAGAGGAACAAGGACCGGATTATGCCCCACTTTATCTGCAGGCTGATAGAGAGGTCTCTCCAGCCCTGACCCCAGGCAATGCATTCATACAACTCTGACCTTTGACCCCACATCCCAGGTGACACAGTGGGCCTTCTGGCCAGGATGGCACTGCAAGTGTAAGATGCTTGTTATAAACCAGCCTAAAAGAGGATTGCCAGAAAGCAACCAGATAAAACCACCTAGAAGGCTTATCGAGGACCTCTGTCCAAACTGGCTACTTTCTGCCAAAACAGTGACTGGGGAGAAATCTAGATGCCTGGGGCAGCCACTTCTCTTCCCTCCTCCAAATCCCTCAGCACCAAGCAGGGGGACCCAGGCCTGTGTGAATGAATGGAGGGTGGGAGGGAGGGGAGTGTGTCTTTCAGGTATGTCTGGTCTTAAACTGGAATGTTCTAGACTGGGTACCTACGGTCTCCCGGCCACACCTGCTCCCCTTCCTGCAG